ACAAAATGCAATAGCATACTAAAAATCCTAAAATTCCCATATTAATATACCAATAAAAACATGAAATTACAACCCATTCACATGAAAAATATATCTAAAAATCTAAGTTTGGGTGCTCACCACGAAAAAGTTATTGAACCCATTAAATATAAATCTTGAGAGAGAGAGAGAGAGAGAATCACCACAAATCAACTATGTAGAGCATGTGTTGGTCTTCAAAATCAAAGAATCATGGAAGTCAGAAATTATTGAAATCAACTTCCAAACTACCCATAATAGCTGTCGACATTGGTGGATAAAAGAAAATAATAAATTATTAAGAAAAATGAAAACCAATATGATGGCTCATAACTCTATATAATCAAAGGAAACTAGACCAAAGCCGTTTGAATTTATAAGTGAAAACAAAGTAATACCACGACAAATTATCAAACAGAAACCCCAATGGATTTTAATTGCCTTGAAAAATTATACTTTCATTTGGGTTTAAAGTTCTGTGTATGGTGGAGAGGATCGCCACGTATATAATTTTGAACAAACTTGCATGTGCTCAAATCATTAGAATGTTATTATTACATTCAGAAATTGGAAGTTATACCTTACCTTTTGAAGAATTTATGGATAGGCACAGAAAGATATTTGAATTGTTTTTTAAGTGATGAGCAACAAAAGGAAACATTAAAATGCTTTAGTAAGCATGCAAATCAAATACTTACCACAATGTTTGGATGCAAAAGGGTTCTTAAGAAGTTTCACTTCTTCCTCAAGCTCTCTAATGTGAACCTATTAAGCAAATTTAAAGCAATGATTCAGATATATAGGACCACAAACACAATGCTTCATATACAAATTACCATAAATGTAAATAAAGCAATTAAATTGGAAATGATTTTCTGTTTTGAAGCACTCTTACTGCAATTGAAAGCTTCTTAGATACATACCAATACCAAAAACAATTGAAAAAACTAACACAAAAATAATAAATATATCCACAAGAATCACCATAAACAAAATATATCTTTTAGAAATGAAGGAGCACCAAATCCAAAATCAGTAAGAGCACTTCTCAAAATAATAAATAAAAAAAAGTATAAGAACTTTACCCCAAAACAAAACCCATTGCTCACATCCTTTGTGCACCATAACTCATCATCATTCTGCAAATCACCACTGAATAATGTGCCAGATAAAGCTTAAGTAAATACAAAAGTATTCAATAAATACCAAAAATATTGTGTCTAGTTTGAAACTATGAGTAAAAATATGACCATCTATTTTATTTTCAGCTTAATGTTAACAATCAGGTTAACCTTTCACATTAACACATTTAATGTTAACAATCCTCAACCCATTTGACTAACATGAAATGAAAATGGGTGTTGATATGAAACCAATTTTTTCTTCAACCCCCATTTGATTTGATAGAGAGTGAGAGCTTTGTTGGTGATGGTGGGATAAAAAAAAAAAAAAAAATCAGAGTATCCAAATTTGTATGGAAAAGATAAGTTAGCTCGTTACGCGTTACAGAACGTGTGCCAGTATTGGCACGGAGGAAATGTCCCCATCAGGGAATGACCTAAGGGATGGCATGGATGCTGACTTTGGAGGCTGTTTGCTTTTAGACGTAAAAGATTTCTATTGGTGGATCTGAAAGGATAATTAAATGTACTTAATATATTTGATATTAAATAGACGTCTCTTCTTCCAATTAGGGTAGACGTCAATGGAAGAAATTGGGGCTTTTGCCGGGGTTCAAAATGAATATCCTTCGTTTTCTGATATGCAACATGTTTTTAATCGGAAGAAGCTCTTTAGAAGGAGGCGCAACTTCGAAGATGGATTGAGAAGAATTAGGAAGAGGGATTTTGAGATTTTATCAATTGTCCGTAATCATTTGGATGAGAAAGGACTTGCCGGAAGGGTTGTCGAGTGGTTTGATGTTGTTCTTATGTATGAAGATTGCCAGAAACACGCCGACTGGTATTGCCAAAAAGGGTTAGTTGATCATCCTAAATATCATACTCTGGTTAAGACAATCTTGGATCTTGAAAATGATTATGCTTCTGCAATTGAAGATCAGGATTTAGATGTTAAGATGAAATACATCATGAAGATGTTGAATGCTCTTGCATAATCTTGTACTTTAATTATGTACTTGAATTTGATTGAGAAATAAAATTGCTTGGGCTGTTTGATTATCAGATTTCGCATTTATGCTATTATTCTCTAATTTTAGAAGAAAATTAATTAGGCGAATGCCTGAAAAATAATCATTCAATTGATTTAACTTCGTCTTTTATTGCGTCGCAAAAATTGTCTAACAAAAGCCGTGCAACGAAAAATCCATCAAGCTAAGTTACGATACTTTATCTTTTGTCAAAAAGTCGAGAAAGATGAGCCTGCTCGGCTCTGGAGGGCGCATGTACTTTGGCCTAGTGGACTTAGATGTATTTGGGCCTAGTGGATTTACAACCTGCGTTATATTGAAGTAGCCTAAGATTTAATATTTTTATAATATATAAGTTTCCAAGATTGCCCCTGGGGGTAGGGGATATTTTAATGTTGCGTAGATTCGTAACGCAACTTATTTTAAATTATAAAATTTGTCTATGAAGGATGTTGGTAATTATAGATTGGAATGAAAAATTAAAATGGTTCTAAATATTGTTCATTTCCGGAACAGATTTGAAGGAACGATCTCGGTGGAGAACACAAATGACAGCGGTGACGATTTCACGGTTGATTCGGGAGGTGTGCACCTCGGTAATCTATGGCTTTCACAGAAGCCTACGAAAGTGAAGTTTAAAGGAAAGGATCCCAACGGGCAGGAAATGGATTCTTATGTGACCCTGTTTACTTTGCACGATAATGGGAATTATGGATATGAGATTCATTGGAAAGGGGATGATGGTAATAAAGAAATCGTGCGATCTTTACATCTCATTATACAAGACTGATACTATGACTAATGTTATATATCATAATCATAGATTATCAGGTTACGATTTAATGTTTTGGGATTTTGAAGGAGTTTGTAAGAATTGGGATGGAGGATCTGGAGACGGAGATGGAGGTGGGAAGTAAAGAGTAGCTCGGCTTGTTTTACTATAGAGGTTATCAGTTGTTATTTTCTCAGTTTAGATGTTGTTATGTTGTTTTTGAAAGTTTCGGCGACGCGTAGCGGTGGAGCACTCCGTGCTCTGGAGAGAAGATGCAGTCTTCGGAGGTGGCTTGCCCCGTACCATTCTATTTGGCGTATCCCATATGCCAGTTGACTAAAGCCCAAGCGACTGGAAAGGATCCCAACGGGCAGGAAATGGATTCTTATGTGACCCTGTTTACTTTGCACAATAATGGGAATTATGGATATGAGATTCATTGGAAAGGGGATGATGGTAATAAAGAAATATATGCAGTGCCTGGGTCGTGCGATCCTTACATCTCATTATACAAGACTGATACTATGACTAATGTTATATATCATAATCATAGATTATCAGGTTACGATTTAATGTTTTGGGATTTTGAAGGAGTTTGTAAGAATTGGGATAAAGGATCTGGAGACGGAGATGGAGGTGGGAAGTAAAGAGCAGCTCGGCTTGTTTTACTATAGAGGTTATCAGTTGTTATTTTCTCAGTTTAGATGTTGTTATGCTATTTTTGAAAGTTTCGGCGACGCGTAGCGGTGGAGCACTCCGTGCTCTGGAGAGAAGATGCAGTCTTCGGAGGTGGCTTGCCCTGTACCGTTCTATTTGGCGTATCCCATATGCCAGTTGACTAAAGCCCGAGCGACTTTGGAGTGGAAGAAAAGTCGTCAGACGTAATTACTATACTTGATCTTGCCAAAAGTCAAGAGTTGCGTCTCATCATCATTCTGCAAATCACCACTGAATAATGTGCCAGATAAAGCTTAAGTAAATACAAAAGTATTCAATAGATACCAAAAATATTTTGTCTAATTTGAAACTATGAGTAAAAATATGATCATCTATTTTATTTTTAGCTTAATGTTAACAGTCAAGTTAACCTTTCATATTAACCCATTTAATGTTAACAATCCTCAACCCATTTGACTAACATGAAATGAAAATGGGTGTTGACATGAAACCAATTTTTTCCTCAACCCCCATTTGATTTGATAGAGAGTGAGAGCTTTGTTGGTGATGGTGGGGATGATGGGACGAAAAAAAAAAATCCAAATTTGTATGGAAAAGATAAGTTAATTATTGATTCTATTCACAGATAAATTTAGCACTAACAAAAGTATCCTAATTTCTTAAATTTTGGGCTGAGATCTAAGTACCGAAAAATGGAATACTCTAATAAATTTTAAAGAGAGAAGTAGAACCTCATGAGGAATGAATAAATATAGTCATATTGAAGACACAGAGAGAGAGAGAGAGAGAGAGAGAGAGAGAGAGAGAATCCATGATAGCTTGTAGCCGATTTGGGCTCCATGATAGCTAACCTGAGAAACTGATGATTAAGGTCAGAAAATCCTCTCCTCCGATCTGTTGCCGCGATGTCGCCAATTTGGGGCCACCAATCTAGCAAGGCTAGCACCTAACAAGCCCACCCGAAGTCACCGATCTGCTATGTATTAGGTTTTCGGGGGAATGAGTGACTAATAGGGGTGAGGCTGTGACCATTGCCAGGGAGATTGAAGATGAAGAGTGAGCTCTGAGAGTGAGATGAGGGGGATAACCCAATTTTGAATTTTGAGAGAGAGAGAGAGAGAGGGATGAAAGGGAAGAAGAAACATAAGGAGAAAATGTATATCCACCATAGGATGTATGTGAACAAACAATCTCAATCATTGAAAGATAATTTGTCTCTTAGACATTTTTCAGCTGTTGGATTGAATCAATTTGATGGTCCACATTTTGACAAAGGGACAAAAGTCCCATTAGGATTCGAAAACAACCCTTCATTGTTATATAGATATTTGCTTTTTCCTTTTCACTTGTAATGAGAATGTGCTAACAAATTTGTCTTGATAGATATACATGTTCGGGAACCAGAAGGTGATGTCTTAATATTTATGACTGGACAGGTGAGAATTTTCTTTCCCGAGGTCTGTCTGCCATTTAATGGCTTAGTTGTGTCATGCTGGTTTTGCTTGTTTTGATTGGAGAAATTAAGTATATGGCCTTCTTATAGGATGATATTGAGAAGCTGGTCAAGAAGTTGGAGGAGAGAGTTCAAAGCCTGGAGGAAGGTTCTTGCATGGATGCTGTAATCCTTCCTCTTCATGGATCTTTGCCACCTGAACTGCAGGCAAGTCTAATTATTTTCATATCTCTACTAGATGAATTCTGATGTATTTTATTTTTTTTGTTTGTGATATTGATGACTCCTCTTGTTGGCCTCTATCTTTTCTTTCTTTTTCTTTTTCTTCCTTTTCCTCTTCTTCTTCTTTTTTTATTTTTTATTTTTATAAATTTTATTTATTTATTTATTTTTTGTATCTCTTGGACCATTTTGTCTAGTGGTGAATTTTTTTCTTTATCCATGGTATAAACACTGGCTTATGTTCTATGGTTGCTTATTACCAAGCTTCTTAGGACTGGTGCAGTAATTGGCATGGGCTGAGAAGGATAAACATGGTTTCTCTGAGCTATATTGTTCATCAAAAGGAGATCAAGCATTAAGACATAGTGAATGATTTTATTTATCAATGCACAAATGTAGAAACTCCCCAGGAACTGTCTGGGGAGTTTATGCAGATTTATGCATTTTTTTTTTACTTCTCATCCGTGTGAAATTGTCCTCTTTCTGTTTTTGAGTTGAATGCTGAAGTAGAGTTTGAATTGAACTGATAGTTAAGTTGTAGTTCAAATTGATTCTAATTGTTTTGTTGATGACACTAAATGTTGGCACTGTTCCTACAGGTGCGTGTATTCAGTCCTCCACCTCCAAATTGCAGGCGATTTATTGTTGCTACAAACATTGCTGAAACTTCTTTGACTGTTGATGGTGTTGTGTAAGTGGTCTCATTCATTTCATTTGTTTATTTGGTGCAATGATAATTTTTTTAGTTAAAATTGCCTGCAATAAGATGTCAGAATAAAATGAAACTGCATTGCCCTATGGCTAGGCTCAAACTAGGCTAGCCTAGAGAATTTGGATGGCTATAAGTCTGTGGTCCTACACCAGAATTTCTGAGGTCCTTTGTGATATATTTTATTGTTTATGGCTATTCTTCTTTTTGTTGGGTAATGTCTTTAGCTCTTTTTGCGAAATTAGTAGATCCTTTCCCCATCCCTTTTATGCACTATATTTCATATGTTAATTCAAAAAATAAACAAATTTTGTTTTTTGGGCTCTTTTGAGTTTGGGTTAACCTATTTTCTCATCATTAAAAATTATATGTAAATGACAGGTATGTTATTGATTCTGGTTATGTGAAGCAACGACAGTACAACCCATCAACCGGCATGTATTCCCTTGATGTTGTTCAAATAAGCAGGTAAAAGATTGATACTCTTGAAACTTTTGTTGTTTTTAGCATAGATTAATATCTAAGAAGCACAAATATGGACACGTGACATGGATACAACATGATATGGATATGCCAACATAGCAATTTTAAAAGAATCAGGGCTTGGGTATGAAAAAACTGTGTTTCTGTCACCTTCTTTTAGCATATCAAAATAGAAAGAAATTATTTCACACTATATTTTGGAAAAGAAGTACGGATGAAAAATCCTATTATCTATTTTAAAAAGCTCTATTCACAAACAAATTGGTGACTTAACAATCATAAGCAATCCTAGGACCAAGAACATCGATAAGAGGTCCTAAAGGGTGCCAATTGTCCAACAACAAAAGGTATGCCATTACCAATTTTGTGCTTAACAAATAGCCTTTTACTCTTTGTTCTTCAATGTGCTTTTTTGCATGGTTCAATAGATGAAGTATTTGATCTAAGGATTGTACTGCATACGTAGATTATGGTGAGTCAAAACTCATATCCTGTAGAGCTTTTCTGCCTCACTGCCCTTCGAGACACATTATAGAAAAAGAGCAGACAAGAAGTGATGTCTAGTGGAGGGCAATGTTTTCATACATGTGACATTTTACTTCTCCTGCAAGACAAATGATCAAATGAGTTTGTGTTTGCCTTTTTGCTTGATCCATTATATTGTCTTACAGTGGATAGCCAGCAAATGAATTAGTTGCTGAGCACTTGCTTTCCTTGTGATTGTTGCAATGTTCAAGTTTGAAGCTTTGTTTAACTGCAGGGTGCAAGCAGATCAGCGTGCAGGACGAGCTGGAAGAACACTTCCTGGGAAGTGCTACCGTTTGTACCCGTCTATGGTTTACCATGAAGAATTACTAGATGCAACAGTCCCTGAAATACAGCGGTCTTCTCTTGCTGGCACTGTTCTTTATTTGAAATCATTGGACCTCCCTGATATGGATATTCTCAAATTTGATTTTCTTGACTCCCCTTCTTGTAATGAGGCAACTCCTTTCTCCATTTTTTATGTTTAGTTTGAAGTAATCTGTTCAACTAGTAATGATCAAGTTTAATTGGGTTTGCTGCAGCTGAGTCACTAGAAGATGCTCTTAAGCAACTATATCTTATTGATGCTATTGACGAAAATGGATCAATTTCAAGTATTGGACGAACGATGGCTGGTACTGGATTCTGATTTGATTTTTAAATTTTCTGTACTTTAGTATTACTGAAACCGATAAATAAGTTTTCAAAACATGAAGCATTAAGGCACTACTATCATTGCCATCAGTATCATTGTCATAGATGTTCCATTAGGAATTGGGTTTGGCTATGAGATTCTTGTATGGCCATCCATGTTTAGGAGTTGTTATTTAGTTTATGGTGAATTGTTGTGTGAAATTTTCATTAGTACTATGATTGTTTTCTGCTACTGTTCATCTTGAGGTGGTGTTTTTTTAGCTTACTGACAGATAAAATAAGGACGGGCAAGGGGGGTTGGGGTGGGGATAGCGGCTTTTTCCCTTTAAATGCCGGATGTGTGATTTACTGTGTCTTTCCTAGTCTCAGTGGTCGGCACTCATCCAGAAGTAACAGTTTGTCTTTGATTATGTTGATCTTGTCTGTTTGTGTATACTTCATTTCTCAATGTACTGACAAATGAATGTATGATGAGTTCTTTCGATTCTTTATATAAGTGATGAATTTCTGGTGAGAGAGACGAGGAAGAGACAGAGTGTGGTGGGTTTGTAATGTGTTTCGGTGTTGGGATAAAACATTGACAGGGTGTTGTGTGTGTGATTGTAGGGAAAATAAATTAATTGATTGAAAATGCTGGTGTCAATATTGTCGTGTTGCCAACTTTGAAAATCTTGTAACAGGGACTTTTTTGTAATATAGCAAAAACAAATTTAGAATATGGCATAAAATGGAGTACAGCCAGCTAAAAGAGTGCGAATTGCACTCCTCTATTTTATTTAAGATCTTCTCATTGTTTTCTTTTACTTAAGTTGATAAGAGAGAGAACCCTTACTTCGGATCAGCTTTAAACATTTGCATTCATCATTATCTGCTTAAATTAATGATATAAAAACCCTATGAAAAAGGCTGCTTGTGTTGAAAACCCCTCTCAAGGGGCACAGGTGTTTCTGGTTTCTCTGAGAATCTTCTATACTTAAATGCAGAGCTTCCATTGGAACCTTCACTCTCAAGAACCTTAATGGAGGCAAATGAATATGGTTGCTTATCCCAGGCTTTGACAGTTGCTGCTATGCTATCAGCGGAAACCACGTTGCTTCCTGGTCGAAGGTAGATTCTTGAATTTGTTTTGTAAGATCATTACTTGCTGTGGATGCTGCAATTATTATGTTATATTATCTCCAGGTATTTGCTTCTGGTAGCTGGCAAGCATAATGTGCAACTAAAGAGCATGCATTCTGAAACCTTTGCTTGGCATAGAGGATAGTTTGATTTCTGGATTGTAAATTTAAGGCATATCAACTGATACTAAACTATGCAATCCCCAAGGCTATGTCATACATACCTAATACTATAGCTCTCCTGTAGTCCTCCTGATACAGCCCCGAAAGCTTAACATATCTGCCCAGTGCCCACTGACACTGCATGATACAACCCCCGAGGTCTGACCATGATTATAGTTGGTAGTTGAGAAATCTCTGGATTGTCAAACTAAGGGGGTTGAGCTACTTGTCCTATATTAGGGGCTCTTCATGCATGCACAAGCTCATCTTATGAACTCTCCGTCTTCGTCAAGGCTCCTCATCTCCATAGCTAGGCTTAAGGATTGGTCATAGTGTGAAAGACCTTTTAGTTTTAGATGCACATATGTTCCTCTACGATGCTGACTGAGATTTGGCCGTAAGGGTCTTTATCACACATCAATAATTTGATAATCAATTATAAGGTCATGATATGAATTCCATTTACATTAGTATTTTTGTAGTAAATTTATATATTTTGTTGTTTTTTCCTTGTTAAATATTCTTCTCTGGGTCCAAATTTGCCTTTTTATGTCTCACAGCAAGAGCACTGAGAAGAAGAGGAAGCATGATTCTTCAGACCTTCCTAATGGTTCTGGTTGGGGTGATCACATCCAATTACTGCAGATCTATGAGCTTTGGGATCAGACTGACTATGATGTGGATTGGTGCAAAGATAACAACTTACAGGTACCTTTATTCTGTTTCAGATAGCATTGATTAAATAAATGCTGTGAGACAGTAACATCAATATTTTGTTATTCGGCATCTGGCCCTTTAGGATATAATCTTTTAGCCTTTCCATGGGCCCTAGCCTTGTGCAGACATCGTCTCATTTCAAATGTGATCTGGGCATTAATTGCTTTACTTACGTTGTGAGGCAGAGGAACTTGCTGCAACTTCTTGACAAGTGTGCATACTTGTCTTTTTTTCCCGACTTTCTCTAGGGCTTCAATTGGGGTCTGTTTCTTTTTAATTATTGTGTGAGAACTTTATCTGATATTAAACATACTGACTGTAGGTGCGAGGAATGAAGTTTGTTAGAGATGTCCGGAAACAGTTATCCCAAATAATGCAGAAGATAGCAAAAGGTTGGAATTCATTTGTATCGATGAACTTATACCTTGTAAACACATGTTTTGCATTTATGTGGTAATTGTGCTATGGATGCATCTTACTGTAATGTACAGCGGCAGCTCCAGAGTTTTTCTTCAATGTAGTCAGTCGATTTTTTCCCCCCACTAGTTGAATTACATTGAACCAACTTCTACTGAATGAAATTATTCATAAAAAGAATTTAATTTCAACCCAATTCAATTTCACCCAAATTAAAAAACTAAATCCTAGTTTGCATATTTTCCTTTTGTTTATTAGATTGACTCTGAAATAGTAAACAAAAATATTTGATTGACTTCAAATGGTAAACAAAAAGACTAGATTTACCCAAAGATCCTAGTTTTACTTACTTTTTCGTTAGGCTCATTGCGATCACATGAGAAATCCTACCAAAAAACTTCTAAATATATGTATACCAGTTTCTTTTTGTTTTTATATTTTATTTTAACATACATTTTCATTCAGCTGAAGTCAATCTAATATTTTCATTCAGCTGAAGTCAATCTAATATTTTCATTCAGCAGCCCCTGGTTATGGGAGAATGTTTTGCTACCTTTCTCCTTCCATATTTCTCTATTTAGTGTTGTTGGTTATCGGTCACCTAGATGTATATTTGAATGCCCCAATTAATTTTATGTTGTGCATAAAATCAGGGTCCCTAGATGTTCGAACAAATGAAAGACGGAAAGAAAGCCAAGAGGATTATAGGAACTTGAGGAAGTCTCTGTCTGTTGGCTATGCAAACCAGCTTGCAGAGAGAATGATTCGTCACAATGGTTACCGAACTCTTGGTTTTAAACCCCAACTTGTTCAGGTAGAAACTTCGAAAATATCTTCTTGTGTTATCTTGTTATATGCGTATGTGTTTGTTGTAAATCCCAAAACTTCATTTTCTGTCATTGGATTTTACTTTTTGAATGACCAAGTTTAGCACAAAGCAGCAAAGTTGAATTTGAAATTAGCTTTGAAGATATGTTAAAGAAAACTACTAGCATCAAGTACCTGACTCACATCTAGAGATTTTTTTTTTTCAGCGTATTTTTTATATTATTGTTGTCTTGAACACAACTGAAGGTACATTATTTTTAAATTTAGGTGTATCCATCCTCTGTGCTGAGAACGGATGAAGAGGGAATGCTCCCAAATTATGTTGTCTACCATGAACTTATTTCTACCTCACGTCCATTTATGCGGAATGTGTGTGCAGTAGAGATGCCATGGGTCATGCCCATCTTAAAGAAGCTCGAGAAACTAAACATCAGCAAACTCAGGTATACCAGTTTCTTGGGGAAATAATTGCAGTAGGAAGTGTATGCTTTTTCCTTTTTTAAAGTTCATTTTCCATTTTCCATTTTCATGTACTATGATCTTGAGCATTATGTTTGTGTGAAGCAGTGGTGGGTCGGGTCAGTCTGAGGAGCAAACTGAGGGAGATAAGTCAAGCTTGCCAAAAAAAGATGATGTTGATGTTGCTAGGCCTGTTGATGACCGTGACAGTCAGATACAAGCAGCTCGGGAACGTTTTCTTGCTCGTAAAGGGAAGAGATAGCACTGAAATGTTGGATTGGCACAGTGGCTAGTGAATTCAATACTCTTGGTAAGAATATGTTGTAGCTGATGGGAGATGGGATGGATGACACCATTTGAACTACCATCTGTTATGGTGACATCATATCACCCTTATTTTCGGTTGCAAATTTATTCTTCAAAGATGTTGGAGAGGAGAGCCATGTCCACAATCACGAAGGCTAGTTCTTGAGGAATTTTGTCCAGTTTTTCTCCAACCCTCAGATCCACCTTGTAGTATGTGCACTTGTAAATTTTGGTAGTATTTTCTTAGGATATAAACAATCTGAAGCATTTAAAAAAATTAAAAAAAAAGAAGTGAATTTGTTGGATAACGACCGGAGTGTATGCCTCGTCTTCTTGTCCTTGTAATGATTTTTATTTATTTATTTTGCTGAAAAGTGAAGTTTTTTAAGTTAGTTACTGAGATGATTCAATGAAAAAAAAAAAGAAAAACAGAGGCTAGCGGAGGGTAAAATATGAGTAGAAGAGGCTCTTGAGAACTCATGAGTAGTTTTTATGCTTTGATGATGTTTGGTATGTTCTCTTTGAATGATTTGAGTTTGTAATTTTGAGGAGAAAGAAGAATGGCAAAGCATAACAAATATGTCTTTTAGCTTGATATACATTGTTACATTCATTTTTTAACAGGTTATACTTTCAAGAAAATTGGTGATTTAATATGGTATCAAAGTTTTTCAAATTTAAATCTCATGTATCTCGTTATCTCTATTATTGTGTACTTTGTTCTACTTGTTTTCATGCACCTTATTTTCTCAATCTTTTTTTTTTTTTTTACACGTGTGAAATGAAGTCGCATCATAAAAGAGAGTGAGTTTAATATACTTATTTCTTAATAACTTAGAACAATTGATGATACAACCATTGCCAAAAATTTATTTATTTTTCTTTGGAAGTACAACGAATTAAGAGAAACATGAAGGAGAGTGTATGTTTGATATATGTTGTTGGTCCTATTTCTTCACATGCAGCGAAAGTAAGGCAAATTCAGAATAACATTTTGGGAACCCACAAAATTTAGACAAACCTGATGACAAGTTTACTCCTAAAATGCAATCTAGATTTATCAACAGGGCTAATAAAACAAAGTAAGTTACTTCTGCTTATATTTCATGAGATGGAGCAGAAATCGTATGCATTGAAAGGTCCTTTTCTTAGGAGCTACTGCTGCTGCTGCCTGTGATGAAATTCTTGAGCCAGGTAACTGATCTTTTGGGGTGCCTCTTGAAATCATCATCATGGTCAACATAATGTAGCCCAAATCCAATGGTGTATCCTGATCCCATTTCCATGTTGTCCAAGAGGAACCATATGAAGTATAACCCTTGAGGTTAACCCCCTCACTGCCAAAAAAAAAAAAAATCTTTAATTTGTTTGCTAAATTATCATGACGGAACCAAGAATTAAGAAATAATAAACGGCAGAAAAAACAAGTAGAATTTATGTGGTTTGGCAAGAAATTTTGTTATGAAAGTACAGAATATAATGTGTAAGCTTTCTATATACAATTGTCTATTTGAAAACCATAATATCATAAAACCCCAAAATAACCCATTATACACCATGAAACCTCGCCATTTGCCCATTTGTTGGGTAGTTTGTGTTGGGTACACAATGCTGCTCCCTGCAACTGTTCTAAAAATAGGCTCACGGGGCACAGCGTCAAATGCTATAAAAGACTAGTAAAACCCTCCCCGACACCAATTGGTTGTAAGAGAGATGGTAGAACTCAGTTCAACAATTCAGGTGACCAATGGTTTAATAGCCACAACATGAATTAAATTTGAGAGCCAAAGCAAGTCATTTAACACATGATCAGGCATGTGGGAATGGGAGGATTTCTTCCTCATGTAGGATTCAAGACTTCAACAACACTAATCTTGGGAGTGCCATAAATTGACTAGGTCACCTAAAACCATTGTCAATATATGAAAATTTGCATTTATATATCATGAATTTTTATTAATATATATTTTTGCATAATGCTATATATTTAGAGAGATTATTACCTCAGGGCCTTTCTGACATAGGTGAGGTGGTTTTGGAGGAACTCAATCCGGACATCATCTTGTAGTGCAGTCTCATTGGGATTGAGCTGTTCCTTTTCTGTGGATATCCTGTTTAGGGGGTGGGTACTTTAGTGATTCGAATAAACCATTCTCACCCAAATATACATATATATATATATATAATAAATAAATAAATAAATAAGCAATAAAAGAATAAAAATATAGGTAAACAGTTCAAACAGTTAAATGTAGCTGATTAACTAACCGCTTTCAGTAATGTAGATGGTGGGGTTGTATATGCAAGCTTCAAATGTAATAGAACTTCACCCAGTCCGTCCGTGTAAACAAAAATCGCATCGAAACCTCCAGCCTAGAATTAATGCAGTCAAACATGAACAAATCAGATCGCAAAACAACTCCATATATATGTGTCAATTTATTACAACTTTTCATCAGGGTTCACAACATGAAACACAAGGAGACTTCACAAAATTATACCAAATTCATTCTATATATAACTCATCCCACAGCAAATTTTAGTTTACACCATACATTTTTTATGGATTTGTAGCTTTTCTGACAAAATTAAATTGTACCTGTTCACCAATAGGTACCTCATTTTTCTCCGCTGAGAAGAAGAAAGAAAATAATTCAGGTTGATATAACTCATGCACTTATTGTGTACGGTCAATTTATTACAACTTTTCATCAGGGTTCACAACATGAAACGCAAGGAGACTTCACAAAATTATACCAAATTCATTCTATATATAACTCACACCACAGCAAATTTTGGTTTACACCATACACATAGGTACCCATTTTTTATGGATTTGTAGCTTTTCTGACAAAATTAAATTGTACCGGTTAACCAATATGCACCTCATTTTTCTCTGCTGAGAAGAAGAAAGAAAATAATTCAGGTTAATGTAACTCATGCACTTATTGTGTACGGGAAAAAAAAAATAAAAAAAAAATTGATGGGTTGTTGGGAATATACTTAGTGTTTGAACATATTGGTCATTTTCGTAGCCGGTAGGCACATCATTGGAAGATAGCTTAAGGGGTTTTGTGTATCTTGATGTGTAGTAATTGAGGCCAATGAAATCAAAGGACCCTTTAACCATTTCTTCTTGCTCTTCAGTGAATGTTGGAAGCCTATCCCTCCGAATAGCCTTCATGTTGAATGGGTAGTCTCCACTCACTAATGGATCTAAAAACCTAACAAATACCAACGGCCCAAAAAGCACAACTTGTTAAGCCAGAAATATTTGTCATGTTCCCAAAAAGAAGAAGGAAAAAAACTTGTGTCTTTAACATCATTAAAAACTGTTAATTGACTTGATGATTTATTAATAAAAGGAACAATTTGTTATGAAATTAGAAACCTCAGAAGGTGGAATGTAATTTTCAAAATCACAAGGGGTAATTCATATTTTAATCAAACCTCAGGAGTGTATTTGTAATTTTATCCATAAATTTTTTGAATAAAACCAACATATCTATGCTATGCTTGGATCTTGAATTTATAGAAAAAAATTTAATTCATGATCTAAACATAGTGTTTTGAGACATGGTTAAGAGAGAATTGATGAATTTAAAACACAGTACTTGGTGAGAATCTCTGTAGGCTTTAACGGCACTGGCATGGGCTAGTATGATATTATGGGCAGCTATGCAAGGATGCATTGAGGGTTCATCTGGAATTGACAGACTCATTTTATATTCATACACAGCGAAAACTTGTGGTTCGTTAATTGTTATCCAGTGTTTCACCCTATCTCCGAAAGTCTTGAAACAAAGATCGGCATAATTCGTGAAGTCCTCACTGAAATCAAAATGAAGAAATCAGATTCACAATTTTATTTTTCTTTCTTTTACTTCTTCTGTACAGAAGTTTCAGGATAAATATGTGTTTTTCAAATTATATAACCCTGTTTATCATTTACTGCTTCTTAAAGCTAGCATTTTGTCAAAATTTTGGTTGGGGTCAAAATTTTGAAATTTTTGTCACTTAAAAAAAAAACAAATAATTTAAGTGCTTCTACAATGAAAACCCCTAAAAACTTTAAAAAATTAACCAAATTTGAAAATTTTCACTGAAGATAATAATAAAACAAAAACTTTTATTTGCCAATTGGTGATTTTTCAAATTCGGCCCATTTTTTTACAGGTTGTGCTACTTGCACAAAAATATTCATCGAAACTCACACAAAAGAGAGACGAGGGGTGGGCTTCTGTGCAAGTTTCTGTGAAATTCTATGCACGTAGACTTTTTGATTTCCTTTTAAAAAAAATTCAGGGACTTCTAGTGCCTAGAAGTAAGTATAAATTGACAAAAAAGTTGTAAGAGGTTCACTAAAGACGAAATAAATCTTAAAATAAATAAATACATAAAAATTGCCAATCTCAAAATAACCAAGAAGCACATACACAAAGTTTGAGCTCAACAAGCCATGGTATTCTTCTTGCAGAGCAGAAGGCAAGTCAAAGTGGAATAATGTCACAAAAGGCTCGATACCTACCAAAGAAATTAATTTCAGAACTAGCAGAAGGAGATAATTAATTCCAAGTATGAAATGGATGAACGACTTTCAACATAAAGCTTGTTCATACCATTAGCAACCAGTTCATCTATCAAATTGTTGTAGAAATCAATGCCAGTTTGGTTGACACCATCACTCAATTTTCCAGCTGCAAATCATAGAAAAGAAAAGGAGTACTCACTAAGTGGAATTTAAAAAGGGTCTCACACAATTACTTCTAACAATAATTCTAGGGACACAGAACCACCCCTTAGTTGCACGAAGCGGGAGCGAGAGCGGGAGCGGAAGCGAGAGCGTAGAATCGTAGACATTTCAAGAATCGTTAGTTAGGAGCGTTTGTATATATTTTAAATAATATATAAAAATATATTGTAAGATTATATTTTTTTATGGGACTATACATGTTA